TTTAAATGAATTGGTAAAAGTACCTCATCACTACAGTATTTGAGGGACTTGCCATCCATCCAATTTCGCTAGCTTTAAGCCAGCTTACTGATACATATCTAACTTGTACAGAGTAATATATCGCATATTAAAACACTACAATAAATAAGTTTTTAATTTTTTCACCACCAGACTTTCTTGCCCAAATAATTCTGTACCTTTTTCCTATATTTTTCATTATTCCCAGAAATGCACCCAAATTTTGGAGCCAACATACAAAATTTGAGTCAATTTCCAGTTTTTACTCAAAAAATTTGGCTGTTTTTGTCCCAATCTTCTGAAGGAAAGTGCAGACTATAAACAGGACTTTTTGTGAATTGGTGATGAATAAAGGGAACTGGTGGTAGAAAAAGTTAAAACAAGCAGCCTGTTGGCTGAGATAGCTCCGCTGTTAGCAATGCACATTGCAATTAAAGAACAAAAGATATCAATAGAAAATGAACTAAATGTATAGTATCAAAGCAATCGGACTTGCTGTTTTCAACAAGAAGTCGAAAATATCACTTTTTACCAAAAATATTCATCAAAATTAGAGAATTGAAGATATCATCATGAAATAAACAAATCTGAGAGAGGACCACATGTAGTACCTATATATGTAATATCAAAGCAATTGGACTTGTGGTTTTTAACAAGAAGTCGAAAATATCACTTTTTACCAAAAATGACAAAAATATTCACCAAAATTAGAGAATTGAAGATATCATCATGAAATGAACAAACCTAAGAGAGGTCTACCCAAGGTACATATACACCAAGTATCAAAGCATTCAGGCTTGTAGTTTTCAAGAAGAAGTCGAAAAAGTAAAACATTGACACGGACGACGGACAATCACTCATATGATAAGCTCCGCTCGACAAAGTAGACAGCGGAGCTAAAAAAGCAAAGCCAGCTTAAGCCATGCTAAAACTTTACTGTATTCACAGTCCTCGTTATTATAAAGATTTATTATGTTTTTCACCATCACAAATTTTACCTTATGTCCAAGCCAGTCATCTTGGTTTCCTTCTACCGGTAACTTTGATATATCTGCACTTAAATCAGTTAAGCAGTCTTGTAATGATAGAGTTCCTCTCACAGATATTACTACCTTTTTACGGGCATGATCTAAAGCCACAAAGAATGGTATTTCTGAAACCTGAAATTAAATTTTACTCCATTTTACAATTGTATTTTTGTTTGTATTTTCAAATCAATATATTTATTGACTGAAAACAACAAGAACAAACAAACACATATTCCTTTCACAGTGAAATAAGCATACATATCACACAAATGACAACATTTGTTACCAGCATATATATGAATTAAGTGAAACAAAATAGAACATTATGACATTTATTCCCAGCGCCACCAGCTTTTGCAGACTGACACTCTTGAGCTACTCAGTTATATGAAAAATGACTGTGAGAGTTATCCTGTGGCTGTATTTTCTGTAGTGCTGCCCAATTTTCAATTTGTTTTAATGAAGGTGCCCTTTGCAGGATATAGCTTGTTAAGTACATCTGCTTTTTTGGAGATCACTAATTATTGTCAATACAATGTAATTCCTTTAATCACTAATACTTTTTTCAATGAACATTTATTTTTATAACTTCAATTTCAATTTTATAAATAAATCTGAAAGCAAATACAGAAAATACAGCTTTAATAGAAAAGAAAAACACAAATTTGACAAAAATGTGAGCTCAGTTTGCCTTATGGAGATCAATGTGCAATATATTGACAAGTTATTGTTATTATTAGTACATAATGGTGAAATGATTTGTTAAATTAAAGGTAGTTAGTAAGCTGACCTGGAAAAGATTAAAAGAGAAATGGTTATTGGAAATTGGTGTGTGTTGATTGGTCAGTCTTGATGATGATGTCAACATGAATATCACAAGAATGGATAAATTTTTGGCATACTTGCCGTATTTGGCAAGCCACCCCCATATTTGGTACACTTGCCATATTTGGTAAGCCATCCATAACTTGGCATATATGGTATTTTCCATATTTGGTTACATTGGGTCAGTGATAATACATGGAAACATCAACAATAATTCTCAGTTACTAAATATAACCCTCACAATTAATGACACACTTGAGTTTTACACTGCCAACAAAGCATTTGTTTTTTCCAAAATTCTAAGCTCATATCGAAATAAAACAAAATATTGTGAGTGAAAGCACTTAATAACTGAGACTAAAGTATAGGTAGATTTGGAATGAAGAGACTGCAGTTGATGACATAGTAAAGGCTGCATCACTTGAAGCATTTATGACTGCATCACATTATTACCATATTTGGTGTTACTACATCACACGGAGTGCTGCAATGTGATCCACGTCCGCTACTTCCATCTCCACCAATTTCAGCTCTTTCCTGTAAATCTGAAGCAAACTTATCAAAAAATTCTTCTTCCAAGTCCTGAGTGTCCCACAGATTACTGTTATCTCTATTTGACATGCAACTAGGATCTACATAATCATCCAGACTACTCTCATTCCCATCAGAATCCCAGACTTCTCCCACTAACTCTGTTCCACCTACTCTATCCATGGTAAGATCTCTCAATCCTGCTGGCATGCAACTGTCTATGTCTGATAGATCAGGATGAGTACTAACCGCTGAATGAAACGTTGCATAGATAATATCCGATTCAGGAAGTCCAAGTTGTTTTCTCAAAGCTATAAAATTGCACTGACAGCAGTTGTCTTTATTCACCTCGGCAGTGGCATGCTTTAACAGGCAGCAGCAACAACTGGAAATAAAACAGATTATGATTTATAGAATAAATTACAAATTAAATATTTAAAAAAAAAAGCACACTTTTAATAACTGACGAGAATGATGACATGTTGTTTTTTGAGCCTAGCTAAAAATAAAGTGGTTCTTATATGAACGACTTCTTGCCATGGATTGGCTGATCATAAGAACCAAGACAAGATGGA